CGGGGGGGTCACTGGGGGACACTGGGGGGTCACAGGGGGACACTGGGGGGGTCACAGGGGGCTGTGCCCAGGCTGGGGTGGTGGCACCGGGGGTCAGTGCCAGTCCAGGCCTGGCTCTCACCTCGTGGCCCAGCAGGGCGGACACGCAGGCCTCGGATGCGTCACAAATGGCCGTGAGGTCGTGGCCCCCCTCCAGCGCCAGCACCACGGCCCCCCCGGCCAGGCTCATCAGCTGCTTGGTCATGTAGCCAAAACCTGCGGGACAAGGCCAGGAACGTCACCTCCCCCTGCCCAAATCCAACCCCAAAACCTCCAGGGGCTCCCCCAGGAGTGGCCACCCCTCTCTGGGGGTCCCAGCCTGGTCCCCAAGGGGGGACCCCCTGCTCTGGCCACCTCCTTACACTTGGCAGAGACTTTGTAGCCACCCAGGGGGGGCGGGTGGCCCTCGGCCGCGTCGAAGCCGGCTGAGACCAGCACCACATCGGGGCAGAACTCCTGGGCAATCGGCATCACCACGGTCCTGAGGGGAAAACGGGGTGGGGAGGGGGGTCAGCCCCAGCTGGGGAAAAGGGGGTGGGGAGAGGGGTCACCCCCCAGAGCACGGGACAGGGGCAGGGACGTGGGGACGGTACCTGAAGGCAGCCAGGTACTCGGGGTCCCCCATGGGGGGGTCGAGCCCCCCAGCCCAGGCCACGTTGACGTTGAAGCCCTCGCCGGGGCCAGCGCCCACCTGGGAGGGAGCAAGGACAGGGTGAGGCCGGGATGTGTCCCCAGGGATGTCGGGAAGGGCCGGGCTCCAGCACTGCCAGGCCTGGGGGAGGCAGGTGAGGGTCCCAGCCCCCTGTCCTGCGCCACAGGAGGGTCTTTGGGGGTCCCAGCCCCTTGTCCTGGGCCATGGGAAGGTGTTTGGGGGTCCCAATCCCCTCTCCTGTGCCACAGGAGAAGCAGTTTGGGGGTCCTGCCCCCCTGCCCGGTGCCACAGCGAGGTCAGGACCGGTGGAATTTTCCTGCTGGGATCCACAGGGTGAGGGGTGGGAAAGGAGCCCCCCAGGGCACTGCCTGGCTCAGCCCTTCCATGTCCCGCTGTCCCCTTGGTCCCCTCTCACCTCGTCGGCGGCTCCGCTGCCCGGGAAGAAATTCCCGTCGTCGTGGCGGTGCAGGGAGATGTAGAGAACCTCGGGGTCCCGGTAGAAAATCTGCTGGGTCCCGTTGCCGTGGTGAACGTCCTGCAGGGAGGGAGTTGGGAGAGGATTCTGGCAGCTGTGGGGTGGCCCCAGAACCTCAGGGAGCCCAAAGCAGCCGGGTCTGGGTCCCCCAGCCCAGGAGCTGCTCCTGCTCCCCCATCCTGACAACACCAGGGGGTTCCAGCCACGTTCCCACAGGAGCTGGAGCAGGAATCGCCCCTGGGGATGTGCTGGGGGCCGGGGGGACTCACCCAGTCCACGATGAGGATCTTGCTGAGCTTCCCCTTCTGCTGCAGCTGCCGGGCTGCGATGGCCACGGAGTTAAAGAAGCAGAATCCCCTGGGAAAGGGGTGGGAGTCACCTCTGGGGCCTTTCCTGAGGGAATCACCCCCGGGTGGCTCCCAGGGGATTTATCTGGGGGTGGTTTGGAGCCACGGAGCTGCTCCTGGAGCTGCTTTTTGGGGAGGGGGCTTACATGGCCGTGGAAGGGTCTGCGTGGTGTCCGGGCGGCCGCACCACGGCAAAACCGTTCTGGGGACAGAGCAGAGGCCGGGGGTCAGAGCTGCCAGCCCCAGGGTCACACACACCCCATGTCCCCAGAGTCACAGCCTGGGACCCCCAGCAATGGGGTGACATCACCCTGGGACCCCCAGCAATGGGGTGACATCACCCTGGGACCCCCAGAAATGGGGTGACATTGCCCTGGGACCCCCAGCTGTGGGGTGACACCACCCTGGGACCCCCAGCAATGGGGTAACATCACCCTGGGACCCCCAGCTGTGGGGTGACACCACCCTGGGACCCCCAGCAATGGGGTGACATCACCCTGGGACCCCCAGCTGTGGGGTGACACCACCCTGGGACCCCCAGCCATGGGGGGACACAGCCCTGGGACCCCCAGCAATGGGGTGACATCACCCTGGGACCCCCAGCCCTGAGGTGACCCCACCCTGGGCCCCCCCAAGGCCACCAGCTACCTTCAGCTCCCTGGTGGCCACCTTGAAGGCCAGCTCGGTGACGCTGCCGGCCGCCCAGCGGGCAGCGTTGGACGAGTGCAGCTCGTTCCAGATGGTGTCACTGTCCACCTGGAGGGGGGACATCGGTCAGGGGGTCCCACAGCAGCAGGGGACATCTCGGTGACAGCAGCCACTGTGCCAGCCCAAGGTGACCTCGGGCCACCCCACATCCTCCTCCTGCCCAGCCCCCCCTCTCTTTTACCTTCTTTATCTTATTTTTAGTGTTTAACCAAACATCTTGCTTTGATCAGCACCGCCTCAAGAGCCGGGAAACTCAAAAAGTCTCTTCTGATCGGGGCCAGGTGGGAGCTCCCCGAGCCCAGAGGGGAACAGAGCAGGGAAAGGAGGCAGAGCGGGGAAAGCAGAGCTGGTGCCCAGCACGGGGGGCAAGAAGAGGAGCAGAACCAGAAGAGGCAGCAGGAAGGCACCGAGGGAGCCCCTTCCTGAAAGAGAGACAGGACAGGGACAGGGAGAGGAGGAGAGAAGGAAGGCAGTGAACGCAGAGAAACCAGGGGGGAAAGCTGGGAATGGAGAGGCCTGGGAAGGGCTGGAGAGAAGGGACGAGCTGCTGTCCCCGTGTCACTGCTGCCCTCCCTCCTGGTGCTCCTGGGGACGCCTCCAGGGGCTCTGGATCGAGGATCCCCTTCCAGGGAGGGATGTCCAGACCTTCCCAAGGACCAGGAGCAGCTCTGGTCCAACAGCTCCATCAAACAGCCCCAGCTGGGCAGCCCAGGGGCTTCGGGAGCTGCCCTGAGGGGCCAAAAAGGAGCAGCCCAAAATCCAGGACAGGGATGGAGCAGTGACCCCAAAATCCAGGACAGGGATGGAGCAGTGACCCCAAAATCCAGGACAGAGATGGAGCAGTGACCCCAAATCCAGGACAGGGATGGAGCAGTGACCCCACACCCCAAATCCCAGGAGCACTCACCCCCACCCCTCCGCAGGGCAGCATCACAAACGTCCTCTGGGACAAGATCCCTGTGGAGAGAGGGGACAGGGAGGACCTCAGGGCTGGGAAAACAGGAGTGGGGAGGGGACCAGCTCCAGGGGAGCTGCTGGAGCCCCCCAGGACGCACCTGCCAGCTTCCCATTGTCCAGTTTGAGGCGGTTGAGGGGGTTGGTGCCGTAGAGGAGGACGTGGCGCTCGCTGTGGACGCACTGCAGCTCCTCCAGGGTGGCCTTGCGGCCCCGCAGGCACTGAGGGGACACGGCTGTGACCGGGGGGGACACGCAGGGGACCCCCCCGTGGTGTCCCCAGCTCAGGATCCGCCGCGTTGGGAATTTGAGCGGCCCCAGGGCAGGGTTTTACCAGGCGGGACCTGAGCTGGTGAAACTGCGGGGTTTGGAGGGATCAGCCCCTCCCTGTGCCCAGCTGGGCTCCAGCAGAGCCCGAATGCCCGGGGGGATGGACAGAGCAGGATGGGCTGACCCAGAAAATGGTGATGAACACCGGGAGGAGGGGTGGAGACAGCAGGGATGGGTGAGGATGGGATCAGGAGGGGTGGAATGGGATCAGGAGGGGTGGAATGGGATCAGGAGGGGTGGAATGGGATCAGGAGGGGTGGAATGGGATCAGGAGGGGTGGAATGGGATGCAGAGGGATGGAATGGGATCAGGAGGGGTGGAATGGGATCAGGAGGGGTGGAATGGGATCAGGAGGGGTGGAATGGGATGCAGAGGGATGGAATGGGATGCAGAGGGATGGAATGGGATGCAGAGGGATGGAATGGGATGCAGAGGGATGGAATGGGATCAGGAGGGG